AAAAAAAAAAAAAAAAACGGAAAAAACCAAAAGCAAAAAACAAGGCTATTTAGTCATCAATTGACTGTACACATACAAATTTTTGTAATTTTAATTCAAAATAATTTAATTGGAGAATGTGGCATAAACGTGAGAGGTAAGTGCAATGCGATGACCAGGTTCTATTCTCAGACTTGGTGTCATATTTATTAGTGTACTTATAGTTATTTAAAAATTTTGTTTGTAAATATGAATGTAATTCTAGGTACAATAAAACGCTGTTGCTGTTGTCATACTCTATGTTTCTGGGGTTTTTTTCCAGGTTCTCTGGTTTTCCTCCCTCCACTAAAATCTTACTTCTAAATTCCAATTTGATAATGGAACAAGGGCCACAAGTTTGTCTGCCACTAGCTGACTATTAAGACAGTAGACTTCGCTACCCTAGCTAGTAAAACAAGGACAATTGAAATTTTGTTAATAGTAATTAGACAATTCCAAAACTTTTTGCTTGCTTCTTCCATTGGTGATTCATTGGTATTCATAACACTGGTAATCAAGCTTTTAACATAATTTTTCAGTAAAAATGAATTATGGACATTCTTCTAAACTAAGCCTTGATTTAAACAAGTGCCAGAAATGTTCCCTTTTTGTATACCGCTTTTTTATTTTTTTCTATGTCAGAGTAAAGCTATCTCATTTTTTCCAATTTTATAACACGCTTTTTTTTAATTACTGGCACTTTCAAATAAAAAAATATAGAGCCAATTGGCACCAATTTTGAGAGTTTACATTCTTGAAGTTTATAATGTGTATTGGTTCCTTTAATGATAATAAAATTTTGAAGGTTGCCATGGTAATTGAGTAATTTAAGCTCATGCACACTTGAGAGCTCAAATTGAGTATAGCCTGGGTATTACATTTTAACATATTATGTAATGTGCAATTTTCCAGATGTATAGCATGGGGACCAGTGGCTATGTTATTGGGTGACTAGTAAAGTAAATAAATTGTTTGTATATCGGTACAACAAAAAGCCATTTGCTTTAAAATAATAAGCTCCAATCCGTCCAAAATGCTTCTGCACGTTTGATATCATTAACACATAAACATGTCAGACCATATCACACCAGTTCTGATTGATCTACACTGGCTTCCTGTATCTCATTGAATCAAGTTTAAAATAATTCCTTTTGACCTTTAAAGCACTTCATGGAATTTCTCCGGTTTACATCCAAGATTTCATCTCCATCCATCATCCTTCAAATAATCTACGTTCATCTTCTCATCTATCACTGCCTTCATGTTCATATAACTTAAAGTCACATGGTCTTCGATCCTTCTCTGTTGCTGCTCCTCTTCTTTGGAACTCTCTACCCACTTCGCTAAGAGACATTCAAGACATTTCTTCATTCAAGTCTTCTTTGAAAACTTATTTGTTTAAACTTGCTTTTTGTTTGTAATTTTTTGTAATTTTAATTTTTTGTTAAAGCGCTTAGRACAGATCTGAATAAGCGCTATATAAGCCTTATCTTTATCATTTATTATTAACATAGTAGCCAAAAACTATAGAGCCGTTTTGGTACAGTATAAGTGGGAAACATTACAGCTAATTTCTAGCCATACCATAACTATACATTATGATTGGATGAATTACTGGAAGATAATGAGAAGCCATTTCAATGTGACGGCATGTGTTACAGTGTTTCATTACAGTGTTCCCAACTTATATGAAAACTGTTCCATGGATTTCTTACCAGTGACAGCAAATCCAACGAGGATGATACCAAAATATGTAGCATCTCTTCCAGTCTGAACAACTGTTAAAAAGAAATAATAGTTAAATACCTATGGTAACTGCATTTATACATCTATAATCGAACACTGTAGTCCTGTTTTTCACTACCAAATTATTTTACGAACATAGCTCCTTTCCCCGTGGGGGGTATGGATAGGGGTTTCTCGCCAAGAACAATGTCATTCATACCTTTGGCACCTACTGTTAGCTGAGATTGTGGCTGCTCTTGTGTTTCGATCAAATCTCCCAACACACTTCTGTCTTTCTTCTCCTTGGATTCATTAGCTAGCCACCTCACCAACAAAGGTTTTGCCATCTTGTTTGGAAGCCATTTGAAGTTGACTGAACTTACACACGTTGTGTTCGCTAAATTATCCCTAAGCATTGGTCCATTCAAGTTAGACAGCCACCTGCATGTATACTGGTTGAATATTTTAGCTTTGCTGTTATTTTGTGCACCAATTATTAGATATTTGCTAACAAACTTGACGTCATTGAACTTTCTTGTAAATCTGAACATTTGAGCCGCCATCTTGGATGTGGAGCCAGTGAGGGATGATGGGAACTGGGTGCGGAAACTGGGAGCTAAAAATAAAACACGGAAAAAAGTTCTTTCTAGTGAAAAAATAAAGAATTTGTTTTGTTAATGATTACAAGATGTGTAAAGCAACTAGATCGATAAACATATTCGCCTATCTTGTCAGATATGAAAATATGAACCTAAACGTACATTGAATATCAAGATTGGGATCCCTGTGTCATTATTACCACAAGTTAAGTCAGCAGATTCCAAGAAGCATTCTACAGTCGAACGATTTTCTAAAGCCTTAAAGTTTTTCTTCCAATCTCTTCGATATTTCGCCTTGGAAGTGGTTGGATCTGCTGTAATCTTCTCTTAGTACAATCGTTCTGATACTGAGGTACAGCTAGTGATGTTCATTGAGTGGTACATCAACCGGCGATCGATCTGTGACTAGATAATGTGCTKCATTGAATAATGAAGGCGGAAGTGCYTTAACAACAATTGCAAGGCCAAGAGATCTAAAAAGAAACACTTTGATCACGCGACGGTAAGACTACAAATGAACGAAAATATTGCCAAAGAACAGGTATATCACCCGGACGGAATTATCGTGCTGAACCAATGAGTTGAGATGAAAAGATGAGATCTTGTTCAAGATGTGAAATACTCACGAATTAGCACAATAGCTTGAATCCAGTAAACAGCACTTGAAGATGAATCCTTCTAATGACACTGAATTAGAAAATATACTTTAACTACAGTTACATTAATTAAAGTTAATCATCATGTGTTCTTCGTGACATCAAAGGATGGCCATGACTACTGATGAAAGAACTGAAAAGTTTGATCTTTTATTACGTGTTGTCTTCCAAAGTCTAAATGAGAATGAGATCCGTGCATTGATCGACGCCAGTGGTGATGTCGATATAACTGATGATGCTGGTCGAACTGCTTTGTTTTATGCTGTCCAACAAAGTAACAACGAGAGCGTGGTTCGTGCATTGATTGATGCTGGT